CAACGGAAGACCTATTCGTTGCTTTGCAACGAGCTCGGCTCTAGTTTTTAATACTGTTATATGAACTTCTTACCGTGAATGAGCAAAGATTCCATCTCAAATTTTTCAGAAGAACGAAGAAAAAAATTCTCGTTTAATCCTGTAATTAAAAAATTCAACAATTAAAGGAGATTTTCAGAAATACCTGTTACAGTGTATGACATGTGAAACATAATGGTGTTCTCGCAAAAAAGTAATAAAAATCAACTACAATAAAAAATAATTTATATATATTGATTCCTTTATTTATCATTTTATTAATACTTTATTGATATATACTGCATACATTTTTAGATTAGTGTGTTTATATAAAAATCTTTAATATTTGTTTTATCAACACATTCAAGTTACCTACTAAAAATTAGGCAACAAAACCCTTTTTTTAAACAAAAGCATATTCTACCTAGATAATACCAATTCAAACAACCGTTATGTTCTATGGAAAAGATGGCCCCTGGGTCACGTCGCTCACTTGAGCACACCGATAATCAGTATTGAAAAGTTTACTGGGGATTAGGGGGCTGTGCTTGAATTTTATTTTACTTGAGGATGTCTCAATACTACATGTAGTATAGCAAATAACTTTCCTGCACAAAAAAATTATTTTTTTTTAAAAAGATTTGCTTCCTAGATATTATTTTGTACGGATTTGATTCCCCATTATGGCCCCTCAATACCCCAATGATTTGAACAATTTTAAATTTTCACTAGCTGAGGATATTTACATATGCAGATGACTTAACGTAGCTTTTCCGTTTACAAATGTTATTGTAAGGTATTTTTATGATCATCAAAAATTTAAATTTCAGATGTCGATGCACATTGCAGAACCTTAGAGTTCCAAACCTTTGTTATGTAAACAGTGCATGTGCCATGTTTTTGTTGACATAAGTTAAATACACTATTAAAACATGCACGATCAAAGCAGATTTTTTTCTTCAAAGTATTTAATTTTAAATACTATTAAACAATTTCTAGTAATTTGCTGAATGTCATTATGTTATAGGTATTGAATTGTCTATACATGTATGTAAGCAAAAACAAGGAACGATCCTTATTCACATTACGAAAAATTCGATGTTATGTATCAGTATCTCCCTTGTAAATCAGCAAATGATTTTCAAATGTTTGCTGATCATAAGAATTACCTTTAACGGTGTCCATGTCCCGCTAAAGGTATCAAAAGTAAGTTTTGTTCAAATGAGGGTCCAGACCTTCCTCCAACAGGTTGGGGAGAATACTCGAAATCGGGTATTATCCTAGTATATTTATTTATCTATTTTTTTTAAAATTCAGTATACATGTATTTCGGAAAAAAAAACCTCTTAATGTAAAAAAAATTGAATGAATATATCTGATTTATAAAACATTGCTCATCCAGGTAAACACAGATAAGTCTACCGGTACCCCTTAGAGGGCCCCTTAATTAAGTGTGATAATTATTTGTTGTTTTACGCGAGTAGCCATTCAGGGAACACACCGGAAACACATATCACACACAAAATATGCCATGTATAAACAAGGGATTGTCTGTCGTATCTAATTATGCGTCATTAATAACTTTCACATTCATCTTGTGCATAAAATCAAATTTATTTATGAATGTATAAATAATGTAATGATAAAAATATCTATAATTTCGGCTAAAAAAACCCTTTCTCTTTTTTATGATAATATTTTTGTTTATCATTCATACATATTTGCAGAATATGTCTTCAACATTTTAGCATAGACATTGATAGTTTCCGGAACAAAGCTTATGAGAGAACATAACTGTTGATCGTTTAATTTCGCTTAATCATCAATACTTTACCATTTTTTGCGACCTCAAGGGAGGGGGGGGGGGGGCTAAAGGCTTCTTGACCACATCTGACAAAACAACCTCGACTTTGTTCTGAATGTGTCCAAGAGACCTCTCCTTTCGAAATCATTGAATTAAATGTTAATGCAAAGTTTTTTGCTATACGTCTTTGAATTGCACGGTCGGTTTAACTAGTTTATATATTTTCAATTATAGGGAAGATTTATTTATCAAATAAAAATTATATAGGTAAACAAAAAGCAACCTGTTATTTTCTAACACAATATGAAACTACAAGTATTGAAAATAACTCAAATTCATGTTTATTTTTTAACACATTTTTTTTCATTATAGATGAGTATTAGGATAAGTTATTGCCATGACTAATAAGAATTACAGATAAAATAGCTAAAGGAAAACTATGACATATTGTCTAGAACCAATCAGATAATAATAAATACAGGATTTTTGCATATGCGATATGAATGATGTCAAAATAGCCTTATCAGTCCTGCAGGATGTGCAGGGCTGATATAGGTTATCAGTCCTCCAGGGCTGATACGGATCAATATCACACCCTAGTAAATGAAATCTCAAGAAACGGTACTTGTGTTCATACACATATTTTGGGGGTTACATAATTCTCTTAGTTTTAACTTTTTGAATGTAATGATAATCTAACTGATAAATAATAGATTATTTCAAAATCACGGATTGGGGACATTTGAAGTACATGAAGTACATGCAGAAACAAACCGAAACTGTATGAGACAATATACTGTGTAGATTTTAAGAAGTCCGTGCATGATTATTTACTTATTTTCTTCTCAACTTAATGTGTTCTGTATTTTATTACTGAGTATGTAATAAATATAATAAACATACCCTCTTCCACATTACATCCTATATCAGCCCTCACCCAATATCAGCCCTCGGGACTTCGACCCTCTGGCTGATGGTGTCTCGGGCTGATACAGGATGTGATATGGAAAAGGGTATGTATTATTCTCTATGTATAGCATATCATAATCATGAGCTTTGAAGATAGCGATATAAAGAAATACGTAAAATAGACAACGGAAGGTAAAATGTATCCTTTCTATCAAATAGTATAAAATAGAAAGGAAGTGGCTACAATTTTTATGAAATTTTAATGTCCGGTGAGGAATTATATTCCCAGAAAGTAAGACAAGAGTGCCCAAGGCGCAATTGAACACTCTATTATTTCCGTTTGTTCATTAACATGTTCATAAACGTAAAAACTACAAGAAATGATAAATTTCGACTAAGTAATTCATATTTGAATGTGACTGTACCTCGATCTATATTGGGAAATTCAATGCATTATAAGCTCATGAAAAGATGTAAACATTTGACTTTCATTTATACCCCCCCCCCCCCCCCCCAAAAAAAAAAAAAAGAAAGAAAATCCTGTTCATATGACTTCTCGCTCTCAATTTTCACACAAACGCAAAATATAAAGGTTAATAAGCATATCTTGTATCGATAAAAATGCAACCAAAAAATTTACGGTCTCTTTTAATAAAAATTTTCATGCTAAATTGGCATAAAAAAAGATACTTACCTTCAATTAGCTATTTTCAACCTAATTCCCGTGGGTATTTATTAATCTTACTTTTTTTTCTTCTTTAAAATAACGTTGATATTCTATTATATTATACTTTCATGTAAATTAGTTGAATCTGATTGACCGAGAAATATTTGTTAAAAACACAATTACCCGCTGAATAATGAAGCCACGCCCTCCAGCTAAGCAACAGTCAACATTGTTTGACGCCGGGTGGTATTCTAAAAAATAGCGACTGCGCAGAATTTATGCGCGCACGGTTCACTATTATATGTATTTGTATAAAACATTCAGTATAATATAATAAATATAGCATGTACATGTAGTTGAGTGTAACATTAAAAATTTTCACCCCTTGTAAACCATTGCGCCTCGGTTGACAATGGTTTTCGAGGAGTGAAAATTGTCATTGTTACACTTAACTACATGCAATATTTATATAATGGTAGAGATATACAATTATGACTCGCTTATACTTACTTTCTAACTGTTAAGAATAATTTATATTTCTTTTGAAAGGGACGCCATACATTTTTCAGTAAAAATACATAACACGGAGTTTGTCGTTTAATTTCTTTAAAGTTTCACATTTTGTGAATAGTGCACAAATTAGAAAATTAAGTATATTGAATACTTTAATGGGAAATAAAGACAGACCAAGTGTAGTTATTTGTTTTTAGAAATTATATTGAAAAATAACAACGCTATTTTGTCCTCTTTGTTACCCTAGCAGTGTGTGTCGTGTGATTTTAAACTTATTTGACAACCATATAAATTAGGTTTGATAAAAATAAATCCACAATATACTGATGTACAAGTAACAGTAACTGGTATAATGCGCCGTTGCTTTATTCTCTAGTTTTTATAGAGAGTTGCACGGAATAATCGATTTCGCGGATTCAACGATACCCTAAATAAAGTACATGTATTATACGCGATTTCACTGATAATATCCGATTTCTAGTATTCTCTCCAACCTGTCCAAAGGGATATAATTACAAATTAGTATAAAAATAATGTCATCTTTTCAAAATCTTATCCAGAGCCGCTCGGTCGCGAAATATGGACTCATGTTAAATCATTTTCAGAAAGAGTAAATTCAAGTATAATCAAATTATGATACTTTGGGGGTATGATAGGGCTTCAATGTCGGATCACAGTTTAACATTGGAATACATAGTAAATAGTAATACAATATTTTAAGCATTCTTTTTCTTTCTTACAAAATAAAGGAAAACAGACAGAATGAACTAACAAAATTTTCTTTTTAATTGTGTACCTTAAATGTACGCTACGTATAATGTCAAAAATGGTGTTCCTTAAATATGTTTATTTTTATCTTAAAAGTTGGGCCAGTTCTGTTGAAACTGCGCTTTTGTTGGCATAGAACAACGGTTAATAAATGCTCTCCAGGTTTCTTATAAATCTGCAAAAAAAAAATCGTTTCTTTCTTTTCTGACGATGATCCATGAACTACAAACAAATATCTCGTCAAAGAACATGTAGGATATTATTCATATACAATGATAATTTTTTTTAACATTTCTGTGACGATGAAGAGATTTTACATACCTTGATTTCGTCGGCATCTACAAATTACAATGGCTAAGACAATAAGGAAGAGAAGAGAAACAGTGGCTCCGATTCCAGCTATTACTCCTACGTTTAGCAATTCATCGTTTACAGCTGTTATTGTGCTATTGAAAGAACTAGTGTAGTCAGTTGTCATATTCAAGGCTCCAAGTATATTTGTCGATGTTTCCACAAATCTGGACCTTAAATCAAAACAGTTTAATTCTTAGCTTCAGATTTGTAGCTCATAGCAATTTGTCTTAAAAATCAGAAGGACGACCAGAAAAGCACAGTGCCACCCAATGAAAAATTGTATATTTATTGCACACAATAAAGTTCACTGATCTTCGTATTTGTTTAAACTGTCATCTGAAAATATTGATTACAATGTGTTCCTTACAATAATGTTGCATATTTACATTTGCAAATATCTTTCTTAGATGAACCTATTAAAGAGAAAATACGTTCAATTCTGTGTGAATTTCATTTGGGGGTCAGAGGTCATAGTGCGACCTGATCACAGAGCGATGTTATGCATAGCACTACGTTATACGTTGGCCCGTTCGTGAAATAAAAACAATTTAACTCGAAATAATTTAGTTTCAGATGTAAATATAAGTAAAAAACAACAGTGTTAAAAAGTTCACTGGGAAATGAACTTTTAGTTGGTACGTGATCAAATCTACAGTGAAGCCCGAAAAAAAAACAATTGTTAAAAAACCCGCTTTGGCCTGAAATTGAGAGAGTCGAATACTGTAAAAAAAATTTACTCGTGACGACTATATTTCGCGATTAACTGGGGAAAATTAGTTCGCGACGATTAATTTTTCGCGACCAAGCATTTCTTAGATCTTTGCTGAATAGAATCATAGACTTAAAAGAGTGGTTTGCGGCGAGAAATATTCGCAATGACGAGGCTCTAGCGAACTTCGCGAAAATTTCTCTCACGCGAATTAAAGTTGATTTACAGTGTTACACATGTTTTTTACTGACGTTTTGGCTGGCACGATAATTCGGTCTAACGGGCTATGTACATATTTAAACTACGAGGGTATTTATTAGATGTCTAAAAATGTTCTGCAATCAAGCTTTTGTGAATTTTAGTTTAAAGTCTGCAGATATTAATTCAGAATCGAGCGTAACTTATTGTGATACAATGAATATACATTTTTTTTCTAAATGTATCACTGTCACCTTTCGGTCTGTCAATATAACTTTTCGGAGACTTGCATATCTGTAGATACAGATTGTATGAAGATAATGAAGAGCAAATCAATCGGTTTTCAAGCAACTAAGATAAATTGAAAAGTTATTGATAATTCAGATGTCATCTAAATCTAACAAAAATCTCTCAAGAAACAATTTTAATTTTGATATAAAATATGATGAATCACAACTCACGCATTGCACGACCTCTCTGCAATAAAACATCTTTCTTCTGGGTTAAGATGAAGACAAGCTGGATCTTTTTTTTAGAAAAATATATACATATATGCATTGATGTCCTCGGGTAACATAATCTTTACTAAAATATTTGTAGATAAAACAATTTCATTTATCCTTACATTTGTACAGGTCTGTGCTTCTGAAATATTGATCTGGACATCCCTCTGTAAAGCCACTACAGCTAATCTGGTCTAGAAACCCCTTCCCTATCGATCTCAGACAATGGCCTGAGTAGAAAATATACAATAAATGGTTTTTGATACATTAACGAATCGAAAAAAGATTCTTTGAATATGTACATGTAATGAATATAGTTTAAGTGTGCTGTTTTGCATTGGGTCAGAGACTATGATGACAACTGCGCTCAAAGTAAATAGTACACGCTTTCTTAGGTCAAATTAGCTATATGATTGGTATTTTCTTCGTACTCCTGAAGAATTGTTTGTGCAAACGACTATTTCTGTGTTAATGTTGATAAAATGCGTTGACCATTCACACAGGAAGGCCGATTATCGTTTACGCTGAGCGTAACTTTTGGGGGAAAAAACCCTTACTTAATTCGAAACTTCACTGAAATTGATGATATATTGGAGTGATGATTATGGGGAGGTATACTACAAATACCCATTCACATTTTGTTAAAATGTAGCAACTCCATGACAGGAAAATGGTGTGGAGACTGGAGAAATTATCCTGTACATTGAACAGATTTTCAAGGTATAGCTAATACATAACACTACACTCACATCATAATATTGATCGACATCATAAATTTGAAGTATAAGCTTAATTTTGAGGAACAAAATGGAATTCATTTGCACTAAACACCTTTGTACAACTAAACACTGAAATTTCTAGGATCTGAACCAGAAACGTAAAGGATGACAACGCTCATCCATAATAAGAAACATTAACCCTGAACCACCATATTCTAATAAAAACAAGTTAAAGTGACCACTAGATTCAAACGCTGATAGAGGATACATACATTGCCAATTATGATATCAAAGCAAAGTAAAAAAAAACAAAACAAATCTACATGTTTGACTCAAGCATAAAAAATAAACAAAACAATTAGTAATATTACAGTTTATGTCTATAGAATCTCAGAATATGTCTGAAGAATTGGTTTACCTTTTTCGTAGATTCCAACAATTGTTTTCGTAAAACAGAACTCTATTAAAACTGTGAGGTTTTTGTTTGGAACACAAACATAACGGCTCCGTCTGTTCTCATCTTCATCACACCCCAGTCTGGTAGCCGCCTCAGTTGTCTTCTCCTGACTTAAAGGACAGGAATCCACCACAAATCCAAACCCATCGTACGACATGCTGAAATGTCTTTAAGAGTCCTCTGCAATTGCACATTTACTGTTGAAATCTCAAAGACCGCATTAAGGTAGTCCGATCCTCAGGTTTATAAAATAAGCAGTTAATTAATAAAAAAAACTCAGTAAAGTATCTCTGAATCCACAAAGTTATGTAAATTTATCCACAATATTTCTTTTAAGTTAAAGCTTAAAATTAATCGTTTTATATAGGGAAAATCATCAAATTTCAAATATTTTGCGAGAAAAAATGAATAGTAATGTCAGCAATGCATTTTCAAATTGCAAATTGATCAACAAATACATTTTAGGTTAAAATGTGATAGATACATGTATCCAAGCATTCAGGAAAATTGTCATTATTTTCATACTTATTTGGTATTTTTTGTCTTTTATCTGCGTTTTGTATTCTATAATACATAGTGTAAAAGGCTGTCGCTATTATTGCAAGACACCAAAAATCACATCTCATTTCATATCATGCTTATAATCATTGGTATCTAAGGTTGGATTCAAAACAATCAATTCTCTAACGCTTTATTATTTATTTTCTTTTCATAGGGTACAAATTTCAACTTTTATAAGACCTTTTCTAAGACTTTCAAAAACCTTGTAACGTATTTCTGTGGGTTTTTTAAATTTTGTTTTACATTTTTTTGGTTTATTTATCTATTTATTTATTTATTTTGCTTTTCATGAAGGTGGTTTTAACCGGGTACATACCCTCTTGTGGATTGTGTCTGTATGATCGTGCCCGATTGACCTGGAATCAAATTCATGCCAAGCAATGTTTGTGTTAATTTTTATTATACAACATGTTAGACTTGTTAACTACTATTGTTATGCATCTCTCTAACTCTGACCAGATTGCGAACGCGGAGAGAACTAGATGTAAACTCTTAATAATTCTTTAATTCTTTTTTTTTAAGGACAATTAAAAAAATATCGACGCAAAGTAAATTCTAATGATACGGAATGATACGCCTGATAAAATAAGCAGAAATACACGACTCCTTGCTTGCTTCCGTAACATGCCCCCACCCCCTCCAAACCCCTATATTGCGAAATTTCACTTTCTATTCTAGATATAATCGGAACTACCACAGTACTTTTTTACAAAATGAAAAAAAAAAATAAAAAAAAATAAATTAGGTGAATAGACGTTTTGCTTTGCATTTGCTGTATTCCGTGATACGATGAAAAAGGATTTTAAAACGAAAGTTGAAATTTTACCGGATAATTATGTATTTGATAAAAATCCAAAGATACTTACATCTGTAATGTCGATTCTCTATAGTCAAAAATATTGTTAAGTAGCATTCATTGTACCATTTTAGACACCTTTACAATTATTTCTAACAGATAATAAATTGTACAACACACTGAGAATTTCAGGACGCTTCCCGTGTGACCTCACGTCTAAACAGGGTGCATTTATTAATAAGATTTAAATTTCTATGGTTTACGAAGCATAAAAGGGTAAAGTGCAGGTAATCAGTGGCGGATTTAAAATTTATACAGAGCGATACATGTTAAAGGTGCATAAACACAGAGTTGATGTTAATGTTCTCTTAAATTTCCTAATGTTTTAATGTTACAATTTACACAATATACTGTAGTAGCATTTCACTATTTTTTTAAAATCATATTTCATAAGTTATTGAAACTTCAAAATTCTGAATGGGTTTAATTGACACATCCTTGCACTTTCAGAAATTATAACTTATTCTAAATACTTAATAAAAGATGCAATTTTCTTGTATATAAAAAAATATTAAAACAGTATTATAATTTAGAAAATTCAAAGTAAAAAGGTAATAATAATATTTTCGTGTGAAATGACATTTGAATATTCAAGTCATAATATTTTACAAGACAAGTGAGAAAATAACAATAAACGTCAAACTTTTGAAATTTTTTTTTTTTGACAAAAGGGGTGTTGAGGTAGAGTGGGTCAACCTATTTATGCAGGATTTTGAAAAAAAAGAATTTCCTCCATCTCAGGCCTGTAGGTTGTCAGTAGAAACTACAATATTTTTACTTTTGGAAGTGGTAAATATAAAATCAATCATCTGAAACTGGTAGGAATTTAATTAACTAGTGTTTAATATAGTATTACATAAACCGTGTATTTGAAGAAATGCCACTTGCTACATTTCAAATTTTAGAGGCATGTTTTATTTTTTATAACATGTTTTTGAGTGCATGTTATATAGTGTAAAAAGTTAAGTCAACTAAGAGTTGCCTATCTAAATATATCTATTTAGTGTAAGCAAAACAAATATAAACAAAGGGCATAAAAAACAGTCACTTGTAATTCTAGAGGCAGGGTCAGGTGCCTAAGAAGCGTAAACATCCTCTGTGTACCGGTCACAGCCCGCTGTGATTCCCCCTATGTATTGATCAGGTAGACAGAACGATTTGTAGTCAAATTAAAGCCAACATCATAAGTATACAATAACCCACACAATGCTACATGTAAATCAGTCACGTGACTTTCCAGAGGTTGAATCAGGGGCCCTTTTTACAAAAGGACTTAGGACTTCAGACCAAATTTAATTCTCCGTAATACTTTTTAACAAACATTATATCGAAAATTATTCTAAACTTTTTTAATAGGAATGTGGTATGATATTTTTACACAAACAATTTCAATGAGAAATATAAATTTTGCAAAATGTTACAATAACCTGAAGTTTTTAGTCTTAGTCGTAAGTTCTTTTGTAAAACGGGCCCAGGTACCTAAGAGGAGTAAGCATCCTCTGTGTTCAGATCACAACACAGCTGTGATTACCCCTCTATGTATTCATTAGACAGAACGAGTTGTAGTCAAAATTACCTTAATTAAAAAAGGCCTCATAGTTGGTTTACCTCTTAAACAAATTTGCCAATGATACGTTACACTTTAGTATTTGTAACATGTCATCATAAAAAACATATTAGTTAAAAATAATGAATACTTTAAACAAAACTGTTCATTTCCCTGTAACATCAATTCAACATTACATAAATGAATAGTGTACATTGTTTTTATAAATTGATTATGCTTACATGTAGAGCCACGTCTTAAGTAACAAATGAATTGGAAACATAGGCACTGTAAGCCGATAATACTGGTTTAATACCAAAGAAAATGAGGAAAGTTGAAGATGCAAAACAAAAGGCATTTCGTTTGTCTTCCAATTTAGTTTGTAATCTGCCTTTATCGTCTAAAGGCAGTAATACACAACCCAATATGAAACAGGTGTTTAAGAGTCTATGCTGTCTTTACAGGTAAATTCAGTTCACTGGGATAATATGAGATCATATAATACATGTATATTAGGTAATAAATAAATACTCCTTATTGATAAAACATCCTCGATGTATCATATTATCAATCCAATGCCACAACCCTTGTTTATCTCTCCTAATTTAGAGATTTTGTTAAACAGATTATGTTTTTATGGATATTTAAAATCGGGTATGTTAATAAAGGAACACAATAGGTGCATATTGAATGCCTGCACTTAGAAATGTGCAGGAGAACTTTATATGTCTTTCATGAGGTCAAGAAAAACTCTGCATTCCAAAAACCAATACATGTACATTATTATCAAGTTATGTTTTCTTCTGTAAATTGAAGAGTCTTATTATCTATCTTAACCTATAGATCATATGTTGTGATGATAACAATGACACTTTGGAGAAATGTAACGTAAGATTGAAAAAGTGTCATTTTTATTATCAGCTCCTCCTTCTTACGACAAAGTTACCAATATTAGTTCTAAGCCTTTTTGTACGCACGTGAACCAGTACAACCAGTATCAGCCGCCAGGTGACGCTACAGGACAATATCCCGGTTATCAATATCCTCCAAAAGGTAGTTCTCCTGGTCCCTATCCATACCAACACGTACTGGGGGTCCACAAGGACTGACCCTTAATGGTGGTAAGACTTTATTTTGAGGAAGTGTAAATAGAACAATATAGACACAGGTCGGTGTTTACATGTCCTATCTATTATATATCTTTATTAAACCTTAAACTGAAAGAAAATACACTTAGACGTCACCAACCGATGTTAATTAAGTGAAGAGTTCAAACAACATCCAGGGGATGATTCATTCTTTCTCTGGTTAAATAAATATATTTAAGTATCACTTGGTCATGAAAAGAACTGCTATTCCTTCACAGAAAACAAAATTTAAAAGTTTAGCATAAAACCCCGTTAAATTTTAATATTCTGCACATAAGCATACAATCAAAAATTTTTCATAATTTCCTGTTTGGTGTTGAAACAAAAATCTGTTTTGTTCGTTTGTGTTTTTAGCAAAATACACTGAATTTAAAACATGCTCATACATCGGAATGTCCTATCATATGATACATGTATATCAAAAAAAAAAAAAAGAAAGCACGCTCATGCACGTGTGCTAAAATTTGATATGTTTAAACTTTATATGGGTTAAATTCTTTTGGTTTTCAACAAGATGATGCTAGCTAGATGAAATCAGAAAAAAAGATATAATGGATAACTAAACGAAGGTAAAGTAGTCATGCACAAGCATGCACGTGCGCATATTATATGACATTGTACGGAATCTATTTCACTTAAGTCCAGGAAATATCACTTACTCTGATATTGTAAAGGTGATTGGGGTTTCTGGATATAGCCCAAATATATCAAAAGGGTGAAAACCATACAAAAAATTACATATATAATTATTATTAGGTTATTAGGCTGGTTCTGCTACTATAGTGATATCGCGGCACACCAGCCAGGATCGGACACTGCCTACCATTCTTGTTTATGCTGTTTTTGGACAACGGGAAGTTTTGCCACTTTTGCAGCTTGCAAGGTACACAGGCAAAAGTGGCTCGCATGAACTTCATATGAAATTCGCATGAATATCGTGCTTATTACTTGAAATTACTATTTCTGTTAATACTTAAATGATTTTTTTTTTTGAATGACCATCTTCAATACTTAGGGTACAGGTTTGCCAGACTGGCTGTGTAGAGGTATCATCCCCTGGTGCCCTTTGTATTCAAGATGCACTAGTTTTATATTAGAGTACTGCCATTACTACAAGATTTTTTTTTTTAATTTACCTTATATCTATCATTTTTATTTAATTGTGTTTTCTTTTATCATTCTATGGTTTCTATGCTTTTGATCCAGTGTGGTGATGCACTTCTCAATGTCAAACTTAATCACTAGTCATGTTACATTATCCTTAATATAGAATTGTAATCAATGTTATCATTTTGTAATAATTGTTCATGCCCCCCGTGGGCCCTTGATTGGTGAATAAACATATATATTCCATATAGTAGAAACAAATATTTTCATGGGAGGTGTTTTAGCAAACTACTATACGTAAGTTGTAAATCATATTTTCAAAGAAACGAACTGCACACTCCGATTTAAAAAAAAAAAACGTGTTTCCGTGTTTTGCGTGAAAAAAAAACACTTTTAGCTAAGAGCAAAGTCTGTAAAAACAGGGGCCCGGGCGGATCCAGAGGAGGGTCGGTGGTTGGAACCCCACCCACCCCCTTTATTCTTGAACACAGAGCAGAGAGAAGAAAAGAGAAAGATTTTTCTGTATTATAGATATTTATAAGTCTAATAATTTGAAGAAAAAAAAATCTGTCCTTTATGTTCGCTAGATCTGTAGATTTTTGCGTATAGGCCTATTTGCTTTCCTTTGTGTACCTTACCTTAACAACCCCGGCTACAATTAAGTAATGTTCATGCAAGGAAGATTCCGGCGAAGTTTAACTATACCATTTTTGGACCATCTTCAGAAGTAACTAACTTTTTGAAGTATGTATAAAATATTTCATTATTTCATATTCAATGACGAAGAGAAAGGTTCCTGTAGAATGCAGATGGAAAAGGGGGGGGGTCTGACTGTAGCTCTCCAGTCTTTCAAAATATATTTTTTTTCGGGGAGCTACAGTTATGCATCTAACGCAAAATAAAAGCTCATATAATTGTCGCAAAACTTGTACATCAAATAAACATTTTGAAGGAACTGATCGTAATCATTTTACCATGCAGGGACCTATATACTAGTATATACAGGGGCGGATCCAGCAATTGTAGAAAAAGGGGGCGCCCCAGGTCGGTGTCCCCAGAATTTTTGCATAGAATCACATATAAGAAGGGGACCTCAAAAACTGTGTGATTGAATTAAGAAAAAAAAAACCAAAACAGAAACAAAAAATGGATTAAAAAAAAAAAAACAACACCTAATGTATGCACCACGTTCTTAATTGGGGGTGGTTGGGTCCTGTAACTTAAGTTTTGTGTTCGGTACATTAATTTACATTTAATGCTTGAATTTGAGTATTTTCTGGAAACAAAATGTGTGGAAGGAGCTTCCAAAGCATAGTATTATTACAGCAAAATTGTTATTTCCATATCCTTGAA